AGGAATAGGGAAATTTTTGTCTATTCTGCTCCCAACTTTTTATACATAAAAACGTGCTGGTTCCCCTCACCTGCCCGGTGCAAAGGCTGACCACGCTCACCACCACTCACCAAACATAGACAGGATCCCACAGGAAAACCAGACAACCAGGGAGAAACCCACGCTGCCGGAGTTTTTCAGTACTCCTTTTGGGGAGATAAAGATGCCGCTGCCAACCATGCTGCCGATGAGGAGTGAGAAAGCCCTCAGCAAAGTTATCTTTTTCCTCAGAAAGACGGCCTCTTCTTTCTTGTCTTTCCCCATGGCTCTTCTTTTAATCCCAGAGGAAGATCATGTATTCAAGAGCAAGGCTCACCTGTAAGACAAGGAAAGAGTTCAGGATTCAGGGGTCTTCTTTTCCACATCAGATATTTTGCAGAAGCCTGTCAAGGTTATTTGAATCTGTTCTCCTCAGCTTCTGGATGCACCAACCAAACCGCAGGTGCACGCAATGCACTCAGCATCACCTCTCACATCAGTGCAGCTCCGGAGAGGGACTGTCAGTGTTCTCTGCCTCTTCTGCCAAGGAGCAAAGAGGATTACAGGTTGCGTGCCACGCTTCAGGATATGATTTCCAAACACAGTTTTGATGTCCAAACTGGAACTAGACAGGTTAGGGTCATTTAATGGGACATCATTCGGGGGAACATTGATATCAGCACACTAGTAGAAAGCAGATTTCAAGTTGCAAACCTAATAATCAACACCTTGAGGATCGCTGAGGTTAAAAAAAATATTTTTTTTTGAGAAGCAAAGAGTTCTGTTAATTGGGTTTGCAGATGATTTAAGCTTTTTTAACTTCCTATCCATCCTTGCTGAATGCACAAACCCAGATTTTCTCACTAGGGCTTCCTTTTATCAGTGTTTCTTAATATACTGTCCAACCTTTATGCTATCAGAGCATTGAAGAGTCAAGAATAAGTACATTTTATAATTGGAAGATGGAGCATAGTCATTAATATCAGACATGTCGTTTCTTCTATTAACATAAAATCTTTACAGCAGGAGTGAAGAGTTTTTCCTGGAAAAGAAGGAACTTCAGACACTCCAGGGATCGCACGAGTTGATCTAGAGCCAGCTCCCTTGCGCCGCAGTCACCTCCCACATCACCGTCCTGTCTCTCCAGTCTCTCTCTCAGTCCCAGGCTGGCACCTTCACCAAGAAACTCACCTTCTGCTTAGGTAGGTAAGATGAATTCACATCAGTTAATACAGTCTAATTTGCTGTAGCAAACCTGTCTGTAGTTTTCCTAACAGCAAGGTAGGCATTTGACACTGCTAACTAACCCTGGTAGAGCGGATAAGACAAGTCTGGAGCAATCTGGATCCTGTCCCTGCTCCTGCCGCACGTCCCGTGCGATGCTCACATGCTCAGCTTCAGTTTTTTTCATTATACTAATGCTGTAAGCTGCAGGCATAATGAATAATTGCCCCAGCCCCATGGCTGTATACTACTGCAAAGTTACACTGTACATGAGACCATTTTTTATGGATTTCTTAAATTACTTAATAATTGCAGTGGCGTGTCCAACAAGAGCAGGCAAGCGGTCACCTACAAGAAGCAGATCTAAGCAGCCAGAAGTTATTTTCTTAATAGTCTGTATTTTCCATCCACGGATATAAACATTCCCATAAGTCTGAGAGGACAATTCTTGTAACCATTCAGCCACGATGCCCCTTCTTATGCCCTGTACAAACTCAGTATAAGTAAGGGCTTCTCTCCCCCATCCCCAGCTATCTGCCCTCCTGGAAACCGGCAGGAAGATGCAGAGGTCATCATTTTCTCCACACAAACATGAATAGCACATGCAGAAAGCCCTCTCTCCTGCCAGCACCATTAGCTGGTTTCTCTGAGATCGCGCCAAGCCTGCACAAGCACCTTCTCAATCAAACCAGCCAAGTTTAGTTATTAAACCTCTAATGAGTCCCGGAGGACTCCTTAACACTCAGATGGGTCACATCAGCCTCATCTGGTCCCTCGGAGCTGCTTCTCAGAGCCCCAAAGCCTGTAGACGGTGGCTCCGGAGGGGCAGGGAAAGACTCCCGGGATCTTCCCAAGCCATCAGCTGCAGTTCCCTCAGATGCTAATTAATTAACTCAAGTGAAATACCAATATCGTCTGGGATTTCTCAGCTGAAAGGAGAACTGCAGAGCATTCGTTCGCAACGGTGAAATGCAGAGGGTTCACCAAACTGAAACCAAACTGAATAGAGAGGTTTTGTGCACAGATCTGTCTAAAACGCTATTGTGAGATAATTAAAAGGGCACTTATCTGTTTGGCTGGGTTTTAAACGAAGCAGGTGCATTTACAATCCACCAGGCTCCCACTCCTTCCTGGGATCCCGAAGCAGCAAACAACAGCGTATCTTCCTGGGCTCTGTAATTACACAAGGGCGGGGGGGTGTGCAGGGAGGAACAGAAAAAGGAATAATCAAGTCAAATTTACAGACCAGGTTAATGATCCAAAGTAAACACCAAACTCCACGCTTCTGTTCACGTGCTTTTTCTTTATATGACTGCCGTGCAAAAATATTTGGATATAAAACAGTCCAGTAAATTTCAGAAATGTGAAATCTGACAGGGTTTGTTCCAGAAGCTGTTGAAGGAAGTGGGAAAAAAGAGGGGGGGAGAAAGAGTAGCAGAAAGCTACTGAATAGCACTTCAAAGAGACACCTAGCAGAGCCCACCGCCTGGAGAGACCATTCCTGCCTGCTCCGCTTTCCAGCTACATTCCAGCACCAGGCACATTAAAATGCAGAGATGTTAATCCTTGTGGCAATGCTTAAGAATATTCACAGTGTGCTTAGCACAAAGGAAACACACAAAGCTGCTTTTTGTTCACCCTTTCGACTTAAGGGACAGGCTCAAACCCTTCCCGTTCCAAAATGCGGTACCTTTGCGTGAGATCACCTGCCAGCAGGACAGGAGCAAAATGAACCCATTTCATAACTTCTCACACCTGCTGGATCTTTATTCCCTTGTTCTTCTCTTTACTGATTTCTTTTATTTTTATTATTAGCTGTTATTCTTACCTCACAGGCACTGCAGCACGAATGGAGACGAAGGAGAGAAGCGTGAAGGGAAAGTCACATTTGTTAGTCGTAGTGGTGTCTAGGAGCCCCAGCTGAGAGCAGGACCCATCGCGATCAGCGCGCAGGCAGAGTAGATGTTACTCTGCTGAAAAGCTAGCAGTAAAAACAAGCAAGCTGGAAAAAGCAGAGGGGGGAGAAAGCATCGTTCTCAGCTGGGGAGCTGAGACCTAGAGCAAGGAGCGACCTTCCTCCTCCTATCACACAGGAGGAGGGTGGCATCCCTGGGAAACCGATGGTACCTCCAGAGTCCCAGGTCAGCGACTTACCCCAAACAAACCCCAGCCACTAGGGAATACTCCTAACTATTTACAGCTGTATTTTCTTTGCTTGGGCCTCAGTCAATACCGTACAGCCAAGAACAGGTTAACCCCTTCTTTTTCGTACTGCAACAGATGCAGGCATCAAACTGTTCTCCGCAGTCCCGCTACTTTTTTTTTTTTATTTTGGTGCCAGAAATGTCACTCCGATTCACTGTCCACTACAAGGCACAGGATCCAACTAAATAAAATCAGCAGTGAATGGGAGCTTTTTTATTCATGCATGAAAGTAGCATAAATAAGCTTTAATGAGACTGGCGGTGGTCTGTTCTGGGAACTCGATCAGAAAAGCTATTTAGGAGACCTGGGAGATGTTTGTTTATAGACCAAAATGAACACAAGAAACAGGCTGAAAAGACAAGACATGCAGCTCAATTCTATTAGGCTTTTTATAGCTGGTTTACCACCCTGGATAAGAAACCAAAAGGGACAGTAGTTAATAAATCAGACTCAGGCTTGCAGCCCAAGATATAGCAATAACTCCAGGATGACTGCCTTAGGTGTAAATGTAAGAATAATTTCCACCAGCTCCTCTTTCTACAGAGTTTCACAAATTTAGTCTTGTGAGTTGTCTACCAAAAGTCTGCCATTTCCTAACATTTCATTCTTAATGAATATATTTTTTTTTTCAGCCTCGACAGCAAAATGGTTCTTGGCTCCGGTCACACCACTTTTATCATCTGATGTAGGCATTTTCAGTTGTCCTTCGGACAAGAGTGACTTTTTCTGGAAAACAGACCGATGATGTAGTGAGTCTGGACCTCCTGATGATGTGATGATGACCTTTTAATTGAGAACCTAAAAGTGTTGAATCCACACTTTGGCTCTTTGGCTAGAAATTGGACTAAACTGAGTCTGGCTCTCAAGCAGCAAAATTCCTGTTCGTTTTAGAGTTCCTTCCAACCAGGATTTCTATCCTACACCAAGTTTAAAATTCCTCATTACGACCAGTCTGCCAAAGCAGCCATTACAAGCGGAGATGTTTTAATAATAGTAGTGCTGATTCATTTTCACAAGATGTACAGATCATATGATGTTATCTCACTTGTCTAAGCACCCCAGTGTAACTCTCCATCCAAGCGCAACAAGAAACTCGCACTTCTATGCATCCAGAACTGATTGCCGACAAATGTTGTAGAGGAACATTGGCTCTTTCATGAGCATTTCTTCCTTTCGTGTTGCCATGACATGCAAAACACAAATATGGGAGAGATGCATACCTAATTAAAACAGACTCAAATCTTTTTCTACAGCACCAGCCATCAGACTATCAGAAAGGTGCACCAGCATCCCTGTGAAATGAACTAACACCGTTCCCCTTTCTTACAAGCAGGAGAAGGAAATACCCCAGGCACTTTTCTCCCTGCCCATCATACCCAAAGGAGCAGCACCCAGAGGACCAGGCACTAGGGCATATAAATCCTAGGGAGGGGGGGAAAAAAAAGCCACTTTACAAGGAGACTGTCTCACATAGTAGTGCTTCCTGAGGCCAACATCTTGGCTCTGTAATTTCTCAAAAAAGGGAACTGTCCTTAGAGCTTTGTTCTTCTGTGGACGGCCCTCCGAGTAGCAAGCTGTTTTCACTCTCCAGATCAGACCTCCTCCCTGGAACAAGACAATTTGTCCTATTTGAAACTGTTTTCTTAGCTGCGTAAGACAGAACACAAACAAAAATAAATCTAAACATTTCTAGCAGAAGACACCCAACAGAGAAGCCGAATGCTGGAGCAAAGTACAGCCAAAATTTCCCCAAATGAGAATTCTTCTTAACCATTTCAAACTAAAAAAAAAAAAAACCAACCTGTAATAGAGCAACATCCCCCCTCCTCCCGGCGATTTGTTGCGCTGCATCAGTG